AAAGGACATCAGTAAAGATAACAGAGCTCTTGGGAAGCTAAGGAGAGAATGTGAACGTGCAAAGAGAGCCCTGAGCAGCCAGCACCAAGTCCGTGTTGAAATTGAATCACTTTTTGATGGTATAGATTTCTCTGAACCATTGACCCGTGCCAGATTTGAGGAGTTGAACAACGACCTCTTCAGGAAGACCATGGGACCTGTGAAGAAAGCCATGGAAGATGCTGGTATGGAGAAAAACCAGATTGACGAAATTGTCCTTGTTGGTGGAAGCACCAGGATTCCTAAAGTTCAGCAGCTTCTCAAGGATTATTTCGATGGAAAGGAGCCCAACAAGGGTGTGAACCCAGACGAGGCAGTTGCTTACGGTGCTGCTATCCAAGGAAGTATTCTGAGTGGAGAGGGTGGTGAAGAAACCAAAGGTACTTATTGCATGTGTTGTTATCTTGTGGACCGATTCAATGCTGCTTGTTTTCTTGCTATTAATCTTGATTTAGTGATGTTTTAGACAGCTTTGTCTGAATTGATGACCGATGTGTGTGCATTTGTGTGCAGACATCCTTCTCTTGGACGTTGCACCACTCACCCTTGGTATTGAAACTGTTGGTGGAGTTATGACCAAGTTAATTCCGAGGAATACTGTTATCCCAACCAAGAAGTCTCAAGTTTTCACAACTTACCAAGACCAGCAAACTACTGTCTCAATCCAGGTAACGTGTTCCTAGCCAAAATAATTCTTACCCTGTTTGTACTGTTAGGTAAATGGATGATTATGTCCTCTGTAAAATGGCATGCTTGCGCTTTAGCTGAGTGTCCGACAATTTGATAACAGGTATTCGAAGGAGAAAGGAGTCTTACAAAGGACTGCAGGCTGCTCGGAAAGTTTGATCTCACCGGCATTCCTCCAGCACCGAGGTTTGTTGCATTCTTTGGATAAATAATTTGTTATGACCGAACTTGATGTTATATTTTGTTATCTGAAGGATCCTGTGTTCTATTTGAACAGGGGAACCCCTCAAATTGAGGTTACATTCGAAGTTGATGCCAATGGTATCCTGAACGTCAAGGCAGAAGACAAGGGCAGTGGTAAATCAGAAAAGATCACCATCACGAACGAGAAGGGTAGATTGAGCCAAGAGGAGATAGATAGAATGGTTCGTGAAGCAGAAGAGTTTGCCGAGGAAGACAAGAAGGTGAAGGAGAGAATCGATGCTCGTAACAGTCTCGAGACATACATATACAACATGAAGAACCAAATCAACGACAAGGACAAGCTTGCCGACAAGCTCGAGTCTGATGAGAAGGAGAAGATCGAGACTGCTACGAAGGAGGCCCTCGAGTGGTTAGACGACAACCAAAATGCCGAGAAAGAGGACTACGAAGAGAAGCTTAAGGAGGTGGAAGCTGTATGTAACCCAATCATCACAGCCGTCTATCAAAAATCTGGAGGAGCACCTGGTGGATCCTCGTCGGAAGATGACGATTCCCATGATGAACTGTAGGTAACTTTTTAGAGTCCATTAACTACTGATGACTAGTGAAGCGAGAAAAACGAAATGGAGTTTAGAAGAGACGAGTGATGTAAATTTTGTCATTTGGGGGCTGAGTCCCTTGCCTGCCTTCTTTTTCTTAAGAAGGATTATTTCTTTTCAAATTACTTGTAGTTTTTGTTTTACAAGATTCTCGATGATAATTGACGCTTTGCGTATGTAATATACATTTTTCTGCCTTGACAATATGTTTCCTGCAGTAAATGAGTTCGTAAATTACGTTCAACAAACAATAATTAGTAAAAATCTCATATATTGAATTAATTGCCTCAAAATTTTTGTTTGTAAAGCAATAATGGAGGCTTTGGGGAGCCATTTAACTAATAAATATTCTGAAGGGACGCTCAGGTCTCGATACTCCCTGTATAGATGCGATTGAGATACTCTATTGCAAGCATGCATTGGCTACTTTTGGGCTTGATGCCTTGATCCTGAGAGTTGTAGTGCAAACGTGAGCCAACCATCATTTGTTGGAATCTTGTCGAAAATTGTGGGTGGATGAATTAAAAGAGAGGAAGATAATGCTATATGTGTGGCTTATGTGACCGCATAAGCCTTCAATGTTCGTGGTTGCATATGGTTTTTCAGTGGCCAAAGTGGCGACCGAAGCTATAATCATGAGATCGCAACGCATGGTTATAAAAAAATGGCTGTTGGCTGGAAATCTTTTTGAATTTTTGGTGGTTTTCTTGGTGAATCCATGCAAAAATGTGTTGGTATTCGTCTCTAAACACAAGAAAAATATTCTATTATTCATCCAAATCTTTGAAGAGATTATCACATATTCAAAACCATTTTTCACTTGTTCATTTGAAGATCACTTTTACTTTTGGTGATCTTCTTTAAGGCTTGATCAATTCTACGAACTATTTGCCATTTAATTCTTAAGAGCATTGTGAGAGAAGACAAATATCGTTTAAGGACAATGGTATAATCTTCGTGTTCAAGTCTTCTTCAATATATACTTATCTTCTTCTTTATTTTTTTGTTCTCCATTGCTATATTTTTATAGCATTCTTAAACGGCATTTGTCATTTTACTGCAATGGAAACGGAATCTAGACTTGCCACAATCAAGAAGATGAATCAAGATTTAGTGAGTTTGGATAGATTTGATAGATTCAACTTCATAAGATGGCAGAACAAACTCAAAATTTTTTCTAACGGCATTAAAAATCTTCTACATGCTTGATATAAAATTGGAATCAATTCTCGATGCAACGGACAAAAATATTGATGAAGTTCGTGCCTAAAGAAAGAAAAGGGAAGAGGACGAACTAATATGTTGCCATCACATCCTAAATGCTCTATCGCATCGATTATATGATCACTACATCAACACGACTTCAGCAAAAGAGATTTGGTATGCACTTGAAAGCAAATATAAAGCCGAGGAGGAAAGTACCAAGAATTTTTATTTTCTAAATATTTTGATTTCAAGTTTCTAGATAAAATTCATTTGTTATCTCGAGTGCATGAGTTGCAAATTATTGTCGACAAATTGCAAGCGGTGAAAATTGAACTTTCGGTAAACCTTTCAAGTGGGTGCAATCATTGCTAAACTTTCGAGATCTTGAAAAGGAGGAAGAAGATTCTTCACAATTCCAAAGATTTTTCTTTTGAAGATATTTAAAAGTATCTTCGCATAGAGAAAGAGTCAAAGGGAAGAGATAAGACTCAAAGTTCTTATAATGGCTCTTCGAAAGCTAATGCCCTGGACAATATGGACAATTCCAACAAATATAAAAAGAAAAGGAAACCTCTTGGTTCAAAAAAGAATTGAGGGAAGTTCAAAAACAAATCGAAGGGACCTTGCTATGTTTATTGAAAATCGGGATACTATGCAAGAGATTGTAGGCATAAGCAATAACCAAATAAAGAAGGGCAAGTAAATTCCATAGATGAGATTATTACTATGATGAGCCAAATCAATGTAATCCAAAGCAAAGTTCCGAACTGATAGTATGACATATGTGCTATCGTCCATGTTTGTTATAATAAGTCTATTTTCAAAACTTATCATTGCATTGAAGATGGTTAATAGATCCAAATGAAAAATGAAGGAAGATCAAAAGTGATTGGCAAAGGTAATACGGAAATCATTTCCATTTCGGGAAAGAAGATCACTTTGACAAATGTTCTTCATGTACCAGAAATGATTAGAAACCCAGAAGTGGAGTTCTATTGGAAAAACCAGGAATTATAATTATTTTTGAATTTGAAAAACTTGTACTTACCCATAATGGACATTTTGTTTGAAATGACTATTCCACTGAAAGAATGGTCAAACTTTGTACTTTTGAGGATAACTCTAATAAAAATAAATTATTTGCCTATGTTACCGATTCATTTAATTTATGACATGGTAGATTTAGCATATATAGGAGTTAGCACTACGAAAAGAATGATTAAATGCAGAATGATACAATGTGAAATTGATAACTTGGAAAAATGTGAAATATGTATTAAATTGAAGACGATTAAAAAGCCATTTTATAGTGTATTAAGATCAACAAACTTACTTTTACTTGTTCATTCCGACATATGTGAATTGAATGTCATGCCAACAAGAAGTGGTAATAGATATTTCATTACTTTCATAAATGATGCTCTAGGTATACTTATGTATATTTGTTAAAGCATAAAGATGAAGTCTTTATTGCCTCTAAAACATATAAAATTGAAGTTGAAAATCAATTAAGAAGGAAATTAAAAACTCTAAGAAGTGATATAGGTGAAGAATATTTTTCTAATGAATTCAATAAGTTTTGTGAATAAAATGAAATAATACATCAATGTTCTGTATCACGAACACCGAAATAAAATGGTTTAGCAGAAAGAAAGAATAGGACATGCTTAGAGATGATAAATGCCATGTTAATAAATTTTGAATTACCATTCATAAATGGAAGAAGCCTTACTTAGTGCTTGTCATATGGTAAATAGGATTCCTATGAAAAAGAATAAGATTTCCCCACATGAAATATGGAAAGATAGGAAGCCAAATATTAATTATTTGAAGGTATGTGGGTGTCTTGCTTATTATAAAAAGAGGAATCCTAAGAGAACTAAATTAGGTCCTAGAGGTATTAAATGTGCATTTGTAGGATAAGTTCTAAATAGCAAGGCCTATAGGTTATTAAACCTTGAGCTAGCTGTCATAATAGAATCAAGTGATGTGAAATTTTTCGAGAATGTATTAGTGACAAGAAAATCTCATAATAATGAAGACCTTCTGAATTCTAGAGAACCACAAGCAGAGACATTTATAAGAGATGTTGAAAGTGAATCTCGAAATAGTAATAGAACTAGAAAAGAAAAAAGTCTAGGCTCAAATGAAATAGATTCCCAACTTATTTCTTTCCATTTAGTAGCGGGAGATAGTAAGGACGTTGTAAGAACAACTCCTTTTGTTCTTCAAGTGGAGAGTGATCCTTAAACATATAAGGAAACAATGTCTTCTAGAGATTGTATATTCTGGAAAGAGGCGATAAATAATGAAATGGATTCTATTATTTCAAATAATACTTGGGAAATAGTTGATCTACAGAAGGGTTTTAAAGCCATTGGTTGCAAATATGTGTTTAGAAAGAAATACAATTTCGATGAAATACTTAATACCTACAAAGCTAGATTAGTAGTTAAAAGGTATCGTCAAAAGGAAGGAATATATTACTTTGACATATATGCACCGTGGCTAGGATAACCTCAATAAGTATATTGTTTGCACTGACGTCAATTTATGATTTACATGTTCACCAAATGGATCTCAAGACGTCATTCTTAAATAGAGATCTCGAAAAGGAGGTCTATATAAAACAATCAAAAGCGTTTGTTGTACCGAAAAATGAACATAAAGTGCGCAAACTAATGAAAAAGTGGCATGTAAAATTTGACTCTAAAATAATTTCGAATGGTTTTAATCACAATTCAATAGATAAATGTCTTTATGCTAAAGTAAGTGACAGTATAATTACATTAATATGTCTGTATGTAGATGATATATGAATCATCAACTACAATATAGATGGAATTAAAGAAATAAGAGGTTTCTGTCCTCTATGTTCAAAATGAAAGATTTTGGACAAGTGAATACTATATTTGGTATCAAAGTTAAAAATGATAGTGGGGATTTTACATTGAGCCAATTACATTATCTTGAAAATGTGATAAATTCAATCACTTGAACATCAAAGAGGCTAATACCCATTTGGATCTAAGTATCAAGCTGATAAAAAATGATGGAAGCCAATAGTTCAAATTGAATACACAAGTTTTATGTACGCGGCACCATGGACAAGGTCGGATTTTACATTTGTTGTGAGTAAAGTAAGTAGGTTTATTAGCAATTTTCAAGTTTCTTACATTAGAATGCCATAAGTAGGGTTCTTGGCTACTTAAAGAAAACCAAAAAACATTGGACTATAATATACACAGTTCCTTACTATTTTGGAAGGATATATTGATGCTAGTTAGATATCGAGTACGGGAGAAACAAGTCCACTTCAGGTTGGATATTTACTTTTGGAGGTTGAGCAGTTTTTTGGAAGTCTAGGAAACAAACATGCATTACTCGTTCACCAATGAAGTCAAAGTTTGTAATGTTGGTTGAAACTGGAAAAGAAGTTGAGTGGCATAAAGATTTGTTGTATGAAATACCTTTAAATATAAAGGATATTTCTTCAACACCTATCTTGTATGATAGTCAAGCTACTCTAGCTCGAGCCTATAGTGAAGTATATAATTGAAAGTCTAGACATTTGATATGAGTCTAATACATAAGTATATAAGAAAATTAATCAAGCATTAAATAATTTCTCTTGTACTTATTAAGTCTAGTGATAACTTAACTGATTAGTTTACTAAACTTCCTACAAGAGAGTTAGTAAGATCGACATCAAATAGGACAAGATTGAAACTCCTGAATTAATTTCACTAATAATAGCAACCCTACCAAAGGTATACTACATAAGTATATTTAGGTTGAAAGGGTAATAACAAGTTATTCGATAAGTGGATAGATTTCGACACTATTAAACTAGTAAACCCTATCCTTAATAAATAGTGTTGGTTGTTATTCTTGGAGGGATGAGTTATAACAAAACTCTTAATGAAGTTCAGTACGGGGTATAAGTATATCTCTAAAAGTAACAAACATACTGGAAGAACTTCACCTATATGAACTTCGAGGTGGTGCCGCCTCATTAAAGAGTTAAAGTTTTTCTTGCTTTAAAAGTTTAATGAAAAATGATAAGTGTAAGGCCATATTAGTACTAAACAAGTTAGAGGAACTTGTGAAAATTTAATACTTGTGTGTGTGTGTGATTTCATCGGTATTGTAACAAGAAATAATTGGTTCAAAGCTTTTTAACTATCCGGAATTTCGATAATGCTTTATGAAAATTACATATAGTTAGACTCAAATCGAAAGATATCTAATGAATGTATTTCAATGATACTTTAGATACCATCTAAACTTGATATTTACCTAATTCCTATAAGTTTAAGAGCATTTTAATGTGTATTTTGCTGTATATATGTTGATGAAATTGATGGGAATGTGATTGAAAATAAGTATGAAAAATATATTAAAGTAAAGTAAAGTAAAGGGAATCAAGTAGGTGCTTCCCAAGAGCTCTGTTATCTTAGCTTAATCAGCTTAATGAAGTATTCGATAATTCTATGATCAAAATCCTCTCCTGCACAACAAATGAACTTTCAGCATCATTAAACCCAACAATAACTCACAAAATTATCGTTCTAAGCCTTCCTTTTTGAAGTGCATAATAATATATGTTGGACAATTTTTAAAGATAAAATCGAAACTTAATATGTTATCAATACATATTTCAGATTGCCGAATTGATCATACATCAAATTGATTTCTCAGCTATATCATAAAAGGACAATGTGTTCAAGGGGTGAGTATTTGAATATATTACGTTTCGAACTTTTGACCTATAACTGCATGACACACTGCCACTTGCTACAGAAATATATCAGTCATTTTCGAAATATTGATTTTCTAATAAATGCAAAGATGGATATATTAGCAAGAAATATCTGTACGTCCAAGATGGGTGTTTCCATTCGTGGAAAGAACCTCAAAGACACCATTGTCAATGGTCAAGAATTTATATTTATTCCTCAATTTGGAAGCTGGTTCTTTATCTTCAATTGGAAAGTTTGTTCATGCTAGTATGCCCTGAATTTGATAAAAGTTACTACTTCCCAAGATTTAAAAGAGAAAATATTGTGCTGGAAAGGCTCAACTAAATGATGCAATTTTAGGCAGTGTTGTGCAACTTATGATGGAAACATACTGCCCTTTTTAATAATTAACAGCTTCCGCTTTTATATGAGCCAGTTAACGTTGTTGCGACCTGTTTATTAAAAAATGTACACGTGTCTCACTTTCATGGGAAAAAAACACATTGGGGCACTGAATATAGGATTTATACGAATACGTATGGCCATTTTCTAACCACTTGAGCTTTTAGATGAAATGGTTAACAAACCAAAAACAAACTTTAGAAGATGGAATTAACCAAGTGGTCTCACTGTCTAAATGCCAACTGGAAAGATTGATATGTATGGTTGTCAACAAGTAATTGTTATGTTATAACGCTACTGCTTCTCAATACGTCCTTGGCTTATGGTTTGATTGCTTTGGCTTCGGTGTTTGAATTGTTATTAATTCGCCAAATGATTTCATGAGTACTAAATTGACTAACCTTGTCTTGTCAAACAGGTTGTCTATCAGCAATTTCTATTGCGAAGGAGGAGGCCACCAAATTGGGAACAGTCATTGGTATAGACCTTGGTACTACCTATTCCTATGTTGGTGTTTACAAGAATGGACATGTAGAAATCATAGCTAATGACCAAGGAAATCGAATTACCCCATCATGGGTTGCATTCACTGACACTGAAAGATTGATCGGTGAGGCTGCAAAGAACCAGGCAGCTGTCAACCCTGAGAGGACTGTCTTTGATGTTAAAAGACTCATTGGAAGAAAGTAATTCCTTTTTGCTCAATTTATAACAGTATTTTCTTCTACATTTTGATGAATAAATACTGATTAAAGTTTTGAATTGTTTCTTGACAGGTTCGAGGATAAGGAAGTTCAGAGGGATATGAAGCTTGTTCCTTACAAAATAGTGAATAAAGATGGAAAGCCTTACATCCAAGTCAAAATTAGGGATGGTGAGACCAAAGTCTTCAGCCCTGAGGAAATCAGTGCCATGATTTTAGGCAAGATGAAAGAAACAGCAGAAGCATTCCTTGGGAAGACAATTAAGGATGCTGTGGTAACAGTTCCTGGTAAGCTGTCTTTAACTTGTCTTTTATTGAAACATTAACTGCAATGACATTTTGAGTATTTGGTCATACTGACCATTTATTTGTGGTTGACTGGCAGCATATTTCAATGATGCCCAGAGGCAAGCTACCAAGGACGCTGGTGTAATTGCTGGCTTGAATGTGGCAAGAATTATCAATGAACCAACAGCAGCAGCAATTGCCTATGGTTTGGACAAGAAAGGTGGTGAGAAGAACATCCTTGTCTTTGACCTTGGTGGTGGAACCTTTGATGTCAGTATCTTGACCATTGACAATGGTGTCTTTGAGGTGCTTGCCACTAATGGAGATACCCATCTTGGAGGTACAGATCTTTCTTTTTATCAGCTCTGCTCCAATATATATAATAAGTGCATTTATTTAGTAAATCAATGTTTGGAAACTGATCTATCCCACCTGGAAGCGGAAGTGAATCATGCAGTTATAGTAATGAAAATTCAAATATTTATACAGACAATCCTTGAACACAGTTTGTCAATGATATAGCTGAGAACATCAACTGGATTATGATCCATTTAGCAATCTGAAATATATATTGTTCAGAGACATCTCATGATAATATGTTAAGTTTGATATCAACATTTAAAATTGTACAGTGTAAATACTGGTTATTCACTGGACGTGATTATTCTGCACTGCAAAGAGGAAAGGGTAGAATGATCATTCTATGAGTTCTTGTGTTGTACAATATATGAAAGTTTCATTTGGTGTGCAGGAGAGGATTTTGATCACAGAGTTATGGAATACTTCATCAAGTTGATTAAGAAAAAGCACGGAAAGGACATCAGTAAAGATAACAGAGCTCTTGGGAAGCTAAGGAGAGAATGTGAACGTGCAAAGAGAGCCCTGAGCAGCCAGCACCAAGTCCGTGTTGAAATTGAATCACTTTTTGATGGTATAGATTTCTCTGAACCATTGACCCGTGCCAGATTTGAGGAGTTGAACAACGACCTCTTCAGGAAGACCATGGGACCTGTGAAGAAAGCCATGGAAGATGCTGGTATGGAGAAAAACCAGATTGACGAAATTGTCCTTGTTGGTGGAAGCACCAGGATTCCTAAAGTTCAGCAGCTTCTCAAGGATTATTTCGATGGAAAGGAGCCCAACAAGGGTGTGAACCCAGACGAGGCAGTTGCTTACGGTGCTGCTATCCAAGGAAGTATTCTGAGTGGAGAGGGTGGTGAAGAAACCAAAGGTACTTATTGCATGTGTTGTTATCTTGTGGACTGATTCAATGCTGCTTGTTTTCTTGCTATTAATCTTGATTTAGTGATGTTTTAGACAGCTTTGTCTGAATTGATCACCGATGTGTGTGCATTTGTGTGCAGACATCCTTCTCTTGGACGTTGCACCACTCACCCTTGGTATTGAAACTGTTGGTGGAGTTATGACCAAGTTAATTCCGAGGAATACTGTTATCCCAACCAAGAAGTCTCAAGTTTTCACAACTTACCAAGACCAGCAAACTACTGTCTCAATCCAGGTAACGTGTTCCGAGCCAAATTAATTCTTACCCTGTTTGTACTGTTAGGTAAATGGATGATTATGTCCTCCCTAAAATGGCATGCTTGCGCTTTAGCTGAGTGTCCGACAATTTGATAACAGGTATTCGAAGGAGAAAGGAGTCTTACGAAGGACTGCAGGCTGCTCGGAAAGTTTGATCTGACCGGCATTCCTCCAGCACCGAGGTTTGTTGCATTCTTTGGATAAATAATTTGTTATGACCGAACTTGATGTTATATTTTGTTATCTGAAGGATCCTGTGTTCTATTTGAACAGGGGAACCCCTCAAATTGAGGTTACATTCGAAGTTGATGCCAATGGTATCCTGAACGTCAAGGCAGAAGACAAGGGCAGTGGTAAATCAGAAAAGATCACCATCACGAACGAGAAGGGTAGATTGAGCCAAGAGGAGATAGATAGAATGGTTCGTGAAGCAGAAGAGTTTGCCGAGGAAGACAAGAAGGTGAAGGAGAGAATCGATGCTCGTAACAGTCTCGAGACATACATATACAACATGAAGAACCAAATCAACGACAAGGACAAGCTTGCCGACAAGCTCGAGTCTGATGAGAAGGAGAAGATCGAGACTGCTACGAAGGAGGCCCTCGAGTGGTTAGACGACAACCAAAATGCCGAGAAAGAGGACTACGAAGAGAAGCTTAAGGAGGTGGAAGCTGTATGTAACCCAATCATCACAGCTGTCTATCAAAAATCTGGAGGAGCACCTGGTGGATCCTCGTCGGAAGATGATGATTCCCATGATGAACTGTAGGTAAATTTTTAGAGTCCATTAACTACTGATGACTAGTGAAGCGAGAAAAACGAAATGGAGTTTAGAAGAGACGAGTGATGTAAATTTTGTCATTTGGGGGCTGAGTCCCTTGCCTGCCTTCTTTTTCTTAAGAAGGATTATTTCTTTTCAAATTACTTGTAGTTTTTGTTTTACAAGATTCTCGATGATAATTGACGCTTTGCGTATGTAATATACATTTTTCTGCCTTGACAATATGTTTCCTGCAGTAAATGAGTTCGTAAATTACGTTCAACAAACAATAATTAGTAAAAATCTCATATATTGAATTAACTGCCTCAAAATTTTTGTTTGTAAAGCAATAATGGAGGCTTTGGGGAGCCATTTAACTAATAAATATTCCGAAGGGACGTTAAGGTCTCGATACTCACTATATCGATGCGATTGAGATACTCTATTGCAAGCATGCATTGGCTACTTTTGGGCTTGATGCCTTGATCCTGAGAGTTGTAGTGCAAACGTGAGCCAACCATCATTTGTTGGAATCTTGTCGAAAATTGTGGGTGGATGAATTAAAAGAGAGGAAGATAATGCTATATGTGTGGCTTATGTGACCGCATAAGCCTTCAATGTTCGTGGTTGCATATGGTTTTTCAGTGGCCAAAGTGGCGACCGAAGCTATAATCATGAGATCGCAACGCATGGTTATAAAAAAATGGCTGTTGGCTGGAAATCTTTTTGAATTTTTGGTGGTTTTCTTGGTGAATCCATGCAAAAATGTGTTGGTATTCGTCTCTAAACACAAGAAAAATATTCTATTATTCTTCCAAAACTTTGAAGAGATTATCACATATTCAAAACCATTTTTCACTTTTTCATTTGAAGATCACTTTTGCTTTTGGTGATTTTCTTTAAGGCTTGATCAATTCTACAAACTATTTGCCATTTTAATTCTTAAGAGCATTGTGAGAGAAGACAAATATCGTTTAAGGACAATGGTATAATCTTCGTGTTCAAGTCTTCTTCAATATATACTTATCTTCTTCTTTATTTTTTTGTTCTCCATTGCTATATTTTTATAGCATTCTTAAACGGCATTTGTCATTTTACTGCAATGGAAACGGAATCTAGACTTGCCACAATCAAGAAGATGAATCAAGATTTAGTGAGTTTGGATAGATTTGATAGATTCAACTTCATAAGATGGCAGAACAAACTCAAAATTTTTTCTAACGGCATTAAAAATCTTCTACATGCTTGATATAAAATTGGAATCAATTCTCGATGCAACGGACAAAAATATTGATGAAGTTCGTGCCTAAAGAAAGAAAAGGGAAGAGGACGAACTAATATGTTGCCATCACATCCTAAATGCTCTATCGCATCGATTATATGATCACTACATCAACACGACTTCAGCAAAAGAGATTTGGTATGCACTTGAAAGCAAATATAAAGCCGAGGAGGAAAGTACCAAGAATTTTTATTTTCTAAATATTTTGATTTCAAGTTTCTAGATAAAATTCATTTGTTATCTCGAGTGCATGAGTTGCAAATTATTGTCGACAAATTGCAAGCGGTGAAAATTGAACTTTCGGTAAACCTTTCAAGTGGGTGCAATCATTGCTAAACTTTCGAGATCTTGAAAAGGAGGAAGAAGATTCTTCACAATTCCAAAGATTTTTCTTTTGAAGATATTTAAAAGTATCTTCGCATAGAGAAAGAGTCAAAGGGAAGAGATAAGACTCAAAGTTCTTATAATGGCTCTTCGAAAGCTAATGCCCTGGACAATATGGACAATTCCAACAAATATAAAAAGAAAAGGAAACCTCTTGGTTCAAAAAAGAATTGAGGGAAGTTCAAAAACAAATCGAAGGGACCTTGCTATGTTTATTGAAAATCGGGATACTATGCAAGAGATTGTAGGCATAAGCAATAACCAAATAAAGAAGGGCAAGTAAATTCCATAGATGAGATTATTACTATGATGAGCCAAATCAATGTAATCCAAAGCAAAGTTCCGAACTGATAGTATGACATATGTGCTATCGTCCATGTTTGTTATAATAAGTCTATTTTCAAAACTTATCATTGCATTGAAGATGGTTAATAGATCCAAATGAAAAATGAAGGAAGATCAAAAGTGATTGGCAAAGGTAATACGGAAATCATTTCCATTTCGGGAAAGAAGATCACTTTGACAAATGTTCTTCATGTACCAGAAATGATTAGAAACCCAGAAGTGGAGTTCTATTGGAAAAACCAGGAATTATAATTATTTTTGAATTTGAAAAACTTGTACTTACCCATAATGGACATTTTGTTTGAAATGACTATTCCACTGAAAGAATGGTCAAACTTTGTACTTTTGAGGATAACTCTAATAAAAATAAATTATTTGCCTATGTTACCGATTCATTTAATTTATGACATGGTAGATTTAGCATATATAGGAGTTAGCACTACGAAAAGAATGATTAAATGCAGAATGATACAATGTGAAATTGATAACTTGGAAAAATGTGAAATATGTATTAAATTGAAGACGATTAAAAAGCCATTTTATAGTGTATTAAGATCAACAAACTTACTTTTACTTGTTCATTCCGACATATGTGAATTGAATGTCATGCCAACAAGAAGTGGTAATAGATATTTCATTACTTTCATAAATGATGCTCTAGGTATACTTATGTATATTTGTTAAAGCATAAAGATGAAGTCTTTATTGCCTCTAAAACATATAAAATTGAAGTTGAAAATCAATTAAGAAGGAAATTAAAAACTCTAAGAAGTGATATAGGTGAAGAATATTTTTCTAATGAATTCAATAAGTTTTGTGAATAAAATGAAATAATACATCAATGTTCTGTATCACGAACACCGAAATAAAATGGTTTAGCAGAAAGAAAGAATAGGACATGCTTAGAGATGATAAATGCCATGTTAATAAATTTTGAATTACCATTCATAAATGGAAGAAGCCTTACTTAGTGCTTGTCATATGGTAAATAGGATTCCTATGAAAAAGAATAAGATTTCCCCACATGAAATATGGAAAGATAGGAAGCCAAATATTAATTATTTGAAGGTATGTGGGTGTCTTGCTTATTATAAAAAGAGGAATCCTAAGAGAACTAAATTAGGTCCTAGAGGTATTAAATGTGCATTTGTAGGATAAGTTCTAAATAGCAAGGCCTATAGGTTATTAAACCTTGAGCTAGCTGTCATAATAGAATCAAGTGATGTGAAATTTTTCGAGAATGTATTAGTGACAAGAAAATCTCATAATAATGAAGACCTTCTGAATTCTAGAGAACCACAAGCAGAGACATTTATAAGAGATGTTGAAAGTGAATCTCGAAATAGTAATAGAACTAGAAAAGAAAAAAGTCTAGGCTCAAATGAAATAGATTCCCAACTTATTTCTTTCCATTTAGTAGCGGGAGATAGTAAGGACGTTGTAAGAACAACTCCTTTTGTTCTTCAAGTGGAGAGTGATCCTTAAACATATAAGGAAACAATGTCTTCTAGAGATTGTATATTCTGGAAAGAGGCGATAAATAATGAAATGGATTCTATTATTTCAAATAATACTTGGGAAATAGTTGATCTACAGAAGGGTTTTAAAGCCATTGGTTGCAAATATGTGTTTAGAAAGAAATACAATTTCGATGAAATACTTAATACCTACAAAGCTAGATTAGTAGTTAAAAGGTATCGTCAAAAGGAAGGAATATATTACTTTGACATATATGCACCGTGGCTAGGATAACCTCAATAAGTATATTGTTTGCACTGACGTCAATTTATGATTTACATGTTCACCAAATGGATCTCAAGACGTCATTCTTAAATAGAGATCTCAAAAAGGAGGTCTATATAAAACAATTAAAAGGGTTTGTTGTACCGAAAAATGAATATAAAGTGTGCAAACTAATGAAAAAGTGGCATGTAAAATTTGACTCTAAAATAATTTCGAATGGTTTTAATCACAATTCAATAGATAAATGTCTTTATGCTAAAGTAAGTGACAGTATAATTACATTAATATGTCTGTATGTAGATGATATATGAATCATCAACTACAATATAGATGGAATTAAAGAAATAAGAGGTTTCTGTCCTCTATGTTCAAAATGAAAGATTTTGGACAAGTGAATACTATATTTGGTATCAAAGTTAAAAATGATAGTGGGGATTTTACATTGAGCCAATTACATTATCTTGAAAATGTGATAAATTCAATCACTTGAACATCAAAGAGGCTAATACCCATTCGGATCTAAGTATCAAGCTGATAAAAAATGATGGAAGCCAATAGTTCAAATTGAATACACAAGTTTTATGTACGCGGCACCATGGACAAGGTCGGATTTTACATTTGTTGTGAGTAAAGTAAGTAGGTTTATTAGCAATTTTCAAGTTTCTTACATTAGAATGCCATAAGTAGGGTTCTTGGCTACTTAAAGAAAACCAAAAAACATTGGACTATAATATACACAGTTCCTTACTATTTTGGAAGGATATATTGATGCTAGTTAGATATCGAGTACGGGAGAAACAAGTCCACTTCAGGTTGGATATTTACTTTTGGAGGTTGAGCAGTTTTTTGGAAGTCTAGGAAACAAACATGCTTACTCGTTCAACATTGAAGCTAGAGTTTGTAATGTTGGTTGAAATTGGAAAAGAAGTTGAGTGGGATAAAGATTTGTTGTATGAAATACCTTTAAATATAAACGATATTTCTTCAACACCTATCTTGTATGATAGTCAAGCTACTCTAGCTCGAGCCTATAGTGAAGTATATAATTGAAAGTCTAGACATTTGATATGAGTCTAATACATAAGTATATAAGAAAATTAATCAAGCATTAAATAATTTCTCTTTTACTTATTAAGTTTAGTGATAACTTAGCTGATCAGTTTACTAAACTTCGTGCAAGAGAGTTAGTAAGATCGACATCAAATAGGACAGGATTGAAACTCCTTAATTAATTTCTAATAATAGCAACCCTACCAAAGGTATACTACATAAGTATATTTAGGTTGAAAGGGTAATAACAAGTTATTCGATAAGTGGATAGATTTCGACACTATTAAACTAGTAAACCCTATCCTTAATAAATAGTGTTGGTTGTTATTCTTGGAGGGATGAGTTATAACAAAACTCTTAATGAAGTTCAGTACGGGGTATAAGTATATCTCTAAAAGTAACAAACATACTGGAAGAACTTCACCTATATGAACTTCGAGGTGGTGCCGCCTCATTAGAGAGTTAGAGT